CAAATAACTTTGACTTTTTTTATGTGTGCCAGTCCTGGGGCTTGAACTCAGTGCATGGAGCACAGTCCCTGAGCTTTAGTGCTCAAGGCTAGTGTTTTACCATTTGAGCCACAGCTGGCTTGTTTTGTTAGTTAATTGGAGAGAAGAGTCTCATGGGCTTTCCTGCCTGGGCTGGCTTTGAACTGTGATCCATACATCTCAGCCTCCTAAGTAGCCAGGATTACAGGTGTGAGACACTGGCACCTGGCTTTGGCTTTCTTTTTTCCTTCTTATTGTTCTCTGAGTGAGGTTGAAATGGTTGGTTTCTGTGTCATGCGGGCCTTGAATGTACAGGATTTTAGTTCTGTATTACCATGGTTCAAAGGTGCAGTATCTGCTTTGGCTTCCTTAGTACTTGCCCTGAGGATAAAGAGGGATAGGGAGATGTCACAGACATGGAGAAAGAAGCTCCCTTTCTCATCAAGTCTCACAGGAGGTACCCAACAGAGTCAATTCATTAGGATTCCAGGCTGTTTCAAATTTAATAGATGGCCACAATTTAATACTCTTCTCAAAGATCTTAGGAAGATAGTTGACATATTTTAAAATTTATTAAAGTCTAATTTATATACCTTTTCTGAGCATGGGAAGTATATGTCATATAAGAGATCGTTTGATTTTAATATTCAGGCCTACTTGCTCTTGGGTTCAATTCCACATGGAAGTTTATCTTAATTTAGAAAGCCAAGGCAATGAAATGAATCCCACAAGGCCTATAAGTGAATGGCTGGACAGTCCAGGTTATCCACACTCAGGCTCCATTCTGCTACTCTTGGGGCCCAGCCAGATTAGAGTGCTCTCCAAATACACAGTATTTTTCTTGCCTTCAAGCCTTTGCTTTCTCAGTTCCTGTAGCTGGAAAGACCTTTCTCTTTCTCTCTCCATCTTCATCTTTGGAATTCCTGAACCTATATTGCAGGCTCAGTTCAAAAAACAATTATTAGCTTAGTGCCAGTTGTTCACACCTGTAATACTAGCTAGCTATTCAGGAGCTGAGATTTGAAAAGTGTGGTTCAAAGCCATCCTGGGTAGGAAAGGCAATGAGACTCTTATCCCCAATTAACTAGCAAAAAGCCAGAAGTAGAAGCATGGCTCAAGTGGTAGAGTACCAGCCTTGAGCAAAATAAGCTAAGAGACAGTACCCAAGTCCCTGGGTTCAAGTCATACTACTGGCACAAAAAATGAAATTCCTCCTTGTGGCTTTTCAAAACCAGATGTAATCTGTACTTGTGAATGCTCTGGGGCTTGATTCTCCTTTCAGAGTAGAACAGGGAGTTATTCTGCTTTTTTATCTACTGTCTGTCTATCACAAGGCCCTGCACCAAGAAGACTTAGTATTTAAGTAATACAAGAGCAGTATTTTCTAGACATAGCCAAGTGGTGACTTAGTCTATTCTTTCCTCTTTCCCTCTGTTTTTCCCTCCTTCCTTCCTTCCTTCCTTCCTTCCTTCCCTCCCTCCCTCCCTCCTTCCCTCCCTCTCTCTCTCTCTCTCTCTCTTTCTTTCTTTCTTTCTTTCTCTCTCTTTCTCTCTTTCTCTCTCTCTCTCTCTCTCTCTCTTTCTTTCTTTCTTTCTTTCTTTCTTTCTTCCATCTGACTTTTATGAGATTTAAGAGACCTGGTCAGAGAGTTGCATATGACACAGCTCTAAATGAGGCCTTACATATATTTGGACCTATTTTTTCATTTTTTATTTTAAAGATACTGTATAGAGGGGTTACAATTACATGAGTAAGGTAATGAATACATTTCCTATCGGGCATTGTTACACCTCCTTTGTTTTTCCCTTACCAGCCCTTCCCTCCCCACCTCCCCAATTCCTCCCTCTCCCCCTGCAAGTTGTAAAGTTTGTTTTCAACATAGTGACTTGTACATCCAACAACGACAAAGATAAAGCCTCTTGTGTCCATATGTTGAGGTTCATTTCGCTTAGCATCAGCTTATATGGTCATATGTACATAGCTTTTGAACTTTTCTGCTTGTCTGGTAAGATTATCCTAGACATATACTGGTTATTGCAAATAAGTGAAACTATGAGACCTTTGTTACTTTGGGTCTGGCTTGCTTCACTTAATATAATTTTTTCCAAGTCTTTCCATTTCCTAACAAATGGGGTGGTGTCATTCTTTCTGATGGAGGCATAGAATTCATATATAATGTGGACCTATTTTTTATGTTGGTGAGGAAGTTTTTCATTTCTTTTTTTAATTAAGTTTTTTATTGTAGAAATACTGTACAAAGAGGTTACAGTTACATGAGCAAGGTAATGAGTATGTTTCTTATCCAGCATTCTTGGCTTCTCCTTTGTTTTTCCCCTACCATCCCTTCCCTCTCACCTCCTCAGCTATGCTCCCCCACCCCGACCCCACCTAAATTGTAAAGTTCATTTTTGTTGCAATGGGTCAATCTGTATCCCTATTTAAGCAATTTGTTTTTTCCCTTCCCCTCCACAAATTATACCAACATCAAATACAGTGAAAACAGGGGTTATACCATGGGGGAGGGACATACAAAGCAACAAAGAAATCACATGGTACCTTATAAATATGTTAGAAACAATAGCAAGGAAGAAAAAAACCACTTGTCATTTCTTAATTTCTAAGTACAACAAAATTTCAACAGGAAAAATGAGAGCAGATTTAGAGAAAAGCCATATCATGGGTTCGGAAAACAGATCCAAATCATGACAAAGGAAAGAATTGTTGAAAGAATTGCAATTTTTAGCTTGGTAAGAAAGAACCCGGACTCATTAAATGCTAGAATAGAAAGAAACTTTGAGAATGTTTAAGGAGTTTCCTTTATTAGTTAGGTACAATATGGGCAAAGCGAACTCTCAGACCTTTGGAATTTTAATTAATTGAAAAAGAAATTCTTAATTAATCTCTTGAATTTGCAACTGAGATAATATATTTCAACATTTCAAACTCAGATGGTATGCTTTTATGTCCGTAACAAAATCGTAGCTAAAACAATTGCCTATTCATTGTTTAATATTCTTTGTTCACTCATCATCCATAAAGTCATTAAACAAAAATTCACATGGACTTGGATACCATTTTTATTGGAAAATTGGAATTTCTTTCTTTTATTGCGTTGTTTACTAGGGCGCATCTTCTGAAGTGCATGACTGAAGCCAGTACTTGGTATATCTATTTCCTTACTTTATTCTTAAGTTTTTCTGAAAATTGCCTGGTTGCTGGTGGATCATCCCTGTAATCCTAGCTACTCTTGAGGCTGAGATCTAAGGATCATGGTTCAAAGCCAGCTCAGAGCCCAGGCAGGAAAGTCTGCAAGATTTTTTATTTTTTGTCTGTTGCAGGGCTTGACCTCAGGGCCTGGGCATTGTCCCTGAGCTCTTTTGCTCAAGGCTGGCTCTCTAACCACTTTGAGCCACAGCACCACTTCCAGTTTTTGAGTGGTTAATTGGAGATAAGAGTCTCATGAAGACTTTTCTGCTGGGGCTGTTTTTGAACTGTGATCCTCAGATCTCAGCTTCCTGAGTAGCTAGGATTACAGGTGTGAGCCACTGGCACCCAGCAAGACTCTTACCTTTAAATAACTACCAAGAAACTAGAAATCAAGCAGTGGCTCAAAGTGGTAGAGTTCTAGCCTTGAGCACAAAAGTTCAGGGATAGCACCCATGCCTTGAGTTCCAGCCCCAGGATCCACACAAAAGATTCTGAAAATTATAAAAGGAACACTTGCTGTGGTTAAAAACAAATCAAACAGTACAATTTCCAGTATATGCTGATAACCGCTGGTTTTCTTGTTGACTTTGTACTGTTTATTTTGTCTTTACTTAGCTTGTTCTCATATATTTCAATATTTTGAATTTTTTGAAATTTATCTTGCAAGTATATTGTTACATTAGTTTTATTTAATCCTCAGAAAGTTAGAAAATATACATAATTGGATTCTGGGCATCCAGAAAACATGTTTATATCACCAGTACCATTTGTCCAACTTACCCCTGTTGTTCAAGGTCAAGTATAGTTCTATGAAGTGCTAAAATATACATTATATTATAAATAAACTCTGTCTTCTCATCTCCTACACACTTACCCTAATCTCTCCTAATTTTAATTTTTTAAGATAAATTCTCACTTTGTAGCCCAGGCTAACCTGGAATCTGCAGTCTTTCTGCATCAACCTTGCCAGTGCTAAGATTGATGGCATGTAAGACCACACCTGGCTCCTAATTAATTTCAACATCTTCCCTCCCTTTCTCCCTCTTTCTCGATTTCCCTTTCCCTCCCTCCTTACCTCCTTTCCTCTCAAACTAATATGCACTTAATCCATGTTCTGTTCTTCTCAAAATTTATTTTATTTACTTATTTTCATTTTCTGATTACGGAGGGATTATAGTTACCTAAGTCAGGTAATGAGTACATTTTTTTTGGACAATGTCACTCTGTCCTTAAAATTTAAAGCCTTATAACCACTGGATGTGTGTAGTCTCTGGCAACGTTAGCCTTTTGCCTTTTTTCTTGGCTGCCTTGTGATACTGGTCCTTTCTTTAATGTTCCTGCAACATTTACTTTTCTTTATTTGGGATTGTAGTTAACCATTTTTATTTGTAATGTCTTCAACCCTTTTTCAAAGGTATGTTTGCAAACTGAGAGAGCCCCTTGGTGAATGTTTTCTAGCATGAGGGTGAGGGAAAGGGTTAGTTTACAGTCCCAGTTTAGGCTGCAGTGTTGTGTTCAGAAGTCAGGAGATAAGAACTATAAAAGAGTTCCTTTCACACTCCTTGAGTGAGTGGGGGTGTTTCTTTGAGAAGGATGTCCATGTTTACCAATTTGGAACTGAAAGAAGGATACCGTCTCCAAGAGACTCCTTTCTTTTTCCTTTCTTCTGTGAGGCTACTGTGTCCATGCTATCAAGTTGGCCTTGTTCTGCTGTTTTTCTGAATTGTGTTTTCTAGGGGTGGGATGAGCAGTTTCTTTTTCACCATGTGTTTCAGGGCCCTATTTGATTATGACCGGACTCGGGACAGCTGCCTGCCAAGCCAGGGGCTCAGCTTCTCTTATGGAGACATTTTGCATGTCATTAATGCCTCTGATGATGAGTGGTGGCAGGCAAGGCTGGTGACCCCACATGGAGAAAGCGAGCAGATTGGTGTGATCCCCAGTAAGAAGAGGTGAGTTATGATTACAAGTGAGATCTTTTCTTATTTTCATTGTGTCTCTGTCTTGTTTTCCTATTGTACTGTAAGTTGCTTGAAGGCACCATATGTGTCTTATGATGATTTCTGGGAAAAGATTGGTATTCAGGACAAGGTTTTTACTGAATGAGCCATAGTAGCTGCTGTGCTTGCAGCTAAGACCAAGATCTGGCAGTAACCATACTTCTTTCTGACTCTCAAACAGGGTGGAAAAGAAAGAGCGAGCTCGATTGAAAACTGTCAAATTCCATGCCAGGACAGGGATGATTGAGTCTAACAGGGTAAGTGGTGATCCCCAAGGAAATCTGTCAGGATATGAAAAGGGGCAAGTGTTTGATGTGATGCTAGGAGAACTGAGGAATGCAAAAGAATGTCTTTTTTTTCCAGGGGGCTGGCTCTGTCCTGTTAGACATATGACTACTTTTCAGAAAGCAGAGGGAGTACTGAAAAGCCCATGCTAGTCTGGGCCCTTCCCCTGGGTAACCGGCTCTGGAAAATGTGTCGCATTTGGCTATGTGGTGGGGACAATGGAAACCACTCATGGGTATCTCCCTGGTTACAGCTTCTGCCTCCCTTCAGACCACATGAGGCACAAGGGCTCTCCAGTCATGCCTTTTCTTCTATGAGCTTCACAGGCCAAAGAACTTCCGGAACAGTAGAGGAAAGAGAGACATGGAATACATGACTGTCTCTAATCAGTGGCACCTTAGGGCACATGTCCAGGAGGCTACAGTGACCTTTGTTCTTTAGGAAGTACCAGTGAGTGCTGTGAGGTTGGGCTAGGTAGAAACCTCTAACATCCCTACAACATTTTCCTGTAAACAATTTTCCTCTTACATCAACTTTCATTTAATCTCATAGATTCCATTTGTGAGAGATGGTCTTTTATTTAGGTCATCATTGTCTCCATTTTAGTTTTTCTTGCATGCTTTAAAATCCATTGTTTTTTTTTTTCTTCTGTCCTTCCCCTCCATCTTCATGTTCTTTCACAGTCGATCAAAACGAAACGTAAAAAGAGTTTTCGCCTATCTCGAAAGTTTCCATTTTACAAGAGCAAAGAAAACATGGCCCAGGAGAGCAGCATACAGGAACGTAAGTAGCAGCAGAGTCCAGAGTGCAGACTGACCGCAGCCCCATCCTCTTGTCCTCAGTTGTCCCTTCTCTTATGAGGAGTCTGGACACTGCCATGTGTGCCTGTGGCATGCACCTGCTTATTTGCAAAGTCAAAGCAGAATCACTCCGCACAGGGGAATGTTGGGCTTGTTTGTCCAGTTCCTCACTTGAGCTGGAGGCTCTGAGGTAGGGCTGGTCCTAGTTCCAGCCTCCAGAATGTCGCTGGCACTGGTGTTGGAAGTGCCAGACGGAGCTCTGCTGTGGGGGTAAGGAGCAGTTTCAGTCAGTGTCAGGGTTAGTAAAATGTTTTGTTTTGTTTTGTTTTTTTCTTCAAGAGAACAAGGTCTAAAGACTCTGTTGCTCTCCTGGCTTCTGCCTTTTTGTGTTTTCTTTCCTTAACTTCATTCATGTATGTCAATAGGAGAATTCAGCCTTCCCAGGCACTTGGAATTGAGGCTGTTTCTGGAATTCTGCACACATACAGAAGGACACAGAATATCTACATGACCCTCAGCAGGCTCAGGATTACTGTCATCTAGAGTACCTATAGAGTCAAATTCCAAAAGAAAACCTTTACTGCTTAAATTAGTTACTATAGGTGCAGTGTTGTTCAACATAGTCTATATAAAGATTTATTAAGAGACCCAAAGCTGATTTGGTTGAAAAGGCTATAATGCTGAACAATATTTATAACCAATGTTGGTAAATTATCTATCTATCTATCTAGTGTGTGTGTGTGTGTGTGTGTGTGTGTGTGTGTGTGTGTGTGTGGCACTGGGGCTTGAGCTCCACACTTTGTGCTCTGGTGATTTATTCTTTTTTCACTCACAGCTGGTATTCTACCACTTGAGCCAAACCTCCATGTCTGGGTTTTTGCTGCTTAATTGGAGATGAATCTCTTGGATTTGTCTCTTCTGGCTGGCATTGAACCTGGATTCTGAACCTCTTGAGTAGCTAAGATTACAGTTTTGAGCCACCAGTGCCCAACCCAGTCCTGATAAATCTTATCCTACAGTGTGCCTCAGAAGTTAATTGCTCTGACCCTAAACTTAAACATCAGGTCAAGCTTGAACAGTAGGGTTTCATTTGTCTCATTGTGAATTGTAAACATCTCATTTACTAGTTACTCCCTCCTTTACATGGATTGATCTGGATGTCTCCAGCCATGGGAACTGGCAGGAGACTGTCACATTCAAACAGGAAATTGTGCTTTTTAGACCTCTTGGTTCACAGTTATGTTATATCTGTTTGAGATGAACCCGAGAGATACAAGATGCCCTTGTCCAGATGAAGGCCAGGGCTCATCATCCTGGGTATACTCCATGACAGATGATAGAGGGAGTTGGTTCTGCTCATCACTAGTGGAAAGCCACCTGAGACAGATCTGAGATATTGTCGCCACACTACATCAGATAAGTCCCAGAACCTCCATTCAAGAATCTGGCCAGCAGAGTTGTCACTGCTCAGTGGCCCAGTCAGTGGACAGTGCCCATTGGATGACAAGAGTTGAAAGTACCTTGTGCCTGTTCTTCAGAAGCTGAGCAACTCAGGATAGCCTCGGTGGCCACCCCTCAGATGGCAGAAATATTTACCTTAAGAGTTTGGAGAGAGTGAGATCATACTGTGCAAAAGTTCCCCAGAGTGGATGGTGATTCTGTTTGGCCACCTGGCACCTGGAGATATATATGTCTCTTTTATGCAGTCACAGAGGGAAATGGCGATTTCATGGGTAAAGCATTTACCTGGACTCTACAACTACAAACTTGCTCAAAGCAAGGATTCTAAACCTTGATGTGTCGCCTATTGGGTTCTGACAACTCACTGTCTAGAGACTACCTCAAAAAGAGCTAATCTACTCCAAGGCTCTCTGACAACAAACTGAGTAACATTAAATCCAGAATCTTATCTGACCTGGAGTGTTCTTTGCAGCAAAATTCTTCACTTCCCTTTAGTTCTAGATCTTCATAGGACTTCATACTTCTTTCACTAATGCTCACTTGCTTCTGTATTCTTCCTTCCCCTTGTTGTTTTTCTGTGTTTTCTCTTCCCCCTGATTCTCTCCCTCCAATCTCCATCCATATTTCCCTCCCTCCCTCCTGCCCTCTCTCCTCTCTCTCTGTCTCTGCTGTCTGTGAAATCAGGACTTCCCTGGGTTAAGTGACGATTATTATGGAGCAAAGAACCTGAGTAAGTCAAATTTACACACTATTAACTGTGTTTGTGGCATGAGTGGAGATGGGTGGGGTTGGGATACAGGGGATATGGGGAAGGGGAAGGGGAGAGCAGTATTTGTGAGAACTCTGTTCCCATGGCAGGAGGAAGTACATGTGGCTCTGAAAGTCACATTTTGTCCTGCACTCCTGGTAACAAATCCTTACTATTCATGTCTGTGATTTTCTTTTATACCACCAAGTGATAGGACATGAGCTTGGCATCCCCCTTGGAAGGAGGTGGGCCCACCTATGTCTCCAGGGGAAAGCACTCAGTGAATGCATAACCTGTTATCAGGGGCAGGGTGCCTGCTAGTTGGATTCTTCTCCCATTGATAGCCCACTAAAGAGTTGAGGGTCTCCTCTTTAAAGTCTCTCTTCAGAGAGTTTTGATACTTTCCTTTCATGGCCTGCCTTTCATATGTTAAGCTTAGACATTGCAGATATTTTAGTTCCTCTAACTAGGAGCAAGGGTGCCACGAAACTCTTTGTCCTCCTGTACCTGAGCAGATCCAAGGCCTCAGCAAACAGGCATGACCAGCTAGCTGTCAATAGAGTATCTCTAATAGAGTGTTTCTTTTTTTGTTGTTGTTGATCATGGGGGCTGAACTCAGCCTGGGCGCCGTCCCTCAGCTCTTCAGCTCAAGGCTAGCGCTCTACCCCTTGAGCCACAGTGCCACTTCCTGCTTTTTTTTCTGCTTATGTGGTGCTGAGGAATCGAACCCAGGGCCTCATGCATGTGAGGCAAGCACTCTACCACTGAGCCAACTTCCCAGCCCTTATAGAGTGTTTCTAATAAAGTATCTCTAAGGTGCTAGGCTGGCCTGGTAGGGGCATCACACATCTGTACCACTTGTAGACCATATATTGTCATGTCTATCCCAAGAAACTTTTGAATAACTATTCCATTTTGGAAAATAATCCCAGAGTAGAAAATGGAAGAACCTAAATGATTGGACCTTAGCAGCCACCCCTATTACAGGCAGGTATATAGATATCTGGCCACACTGATGGGTCTCTGTAAGTATATACTCTCCTTCAATAAATAATCTAGGTTTAAAGGATAGAGACTACCAGCAAGGAGTGTTCAGGAACTAGCCATATGTGGCAACTCTGTCAGTCCTGGGGGCTGGAGCGGGGTAGGGCTGGGGGGTGGGGAAGAGGGGGTGGCAGCATATCATTATCTGGAACAGTGTGGTCTTGGCTGAAATGAGCAGCGTCTCTCCATGGTTTGATCTGTTTCATGTCCCATCTCCATTTGCTTGTTGTCTGGGGGGAGGGGTACCTTTGTTTGTGCCTCCTGTGAATGTCGCTCTCTGCTTGAGCTTCCTTTGCCCATGTTCAGAGATGGGCAGATCCCAACTGTCTGAGACAGGATGCCTGTCTTGTCCTTGAGATATTCCTGTTGGTTTGTTGTCTCTGTATTTTGACATGTCTGTCTGATAGTGGATGGAGGCACATCTCCCCCCTTACCACCCAAGCCAAACTATCTTCAGGAGTGGCTGCAGAAGGTCAGAGCAGTGTTTCCTAGTAGCTGCTTATCCTGTTCAATGCTTCAACTCTTAGTTGTGATGTACCACATGGGTCTGTTTGAGCAGCATATTCCCTGGCTTTTTCTCTGCAACTGTCCCTTATCTCTTCTTTCCTGCCATTAGCTTTGGGAGATGCATTTTAAGATAAGATTTGGAAACCTTCCAAGTCAGATGGTTTGATTGATATGAAGAAAATGCTGTGGAAGGAAGGAAGGAAGGAAAGGAAGGAAGGAAGGAAGGACGGAAGGAAGGAAGGAAGGACGGAAGGACCCTAGGGAAGGACTTGCAGACTGAAGAGGGCTCTGGGAACACATAGGAGGTGGCCAGGGCATCAGGATTGAAACTGTGCCTCCTACTAGGTGGCCTGGATGTGGCAGGCCTCCTGTGCCCTGACTCAGTTGGCAGTTCAATATTTCACTCCTGGAGCATTTGAGTTTTGTGCTGCATGTGACCTCTCAATGGTGTGTTCTGAATTGGAGTCTCTTTCTTGTTGGCTTGCAGAGGGAGTGACATCCAACACCAGTGACAGCGAAAGCAGTTCCAGTAAGTGTGTGTCAATTCCCCCACCCCTGTGTTATGTAGCTCCACCATGTCTCCCAGCCATCCTCATTCCAGTGTCACATGGCTGCCGTTCCTGCTCAGAGGCTGCTGCTCCTTTGAGCCACGTACACTTTGAGCCCATGGAGATACTATGGTGTGCTCATTCTTTTTGTGGGATGAATTTGCCCAATGGCTGATAGAGAGTATAAGTCCTGTAGTTCTGGCCAGCCTGGCTTCAAAATATCCCTAGGATCCTGGGGAGAGTGAACTGCCAGTGGGAAAATCCCTGCCATGAGCATTGCAGGCTGTACATGCTGCCAGGTTTACAGATTAGCTCAGAGACCAAAAGCCAAATGGCTCCTGTAGAATAGCATACCGAATCTGCCTTTCTTAGTTGCTAGGAACTCCTTACCTCCTGGCTATATTATATGGTCAGAAAGGAAATTATCAGTTTTCCTTGAAAATTCTGTGACTACACCAGAGAACCATAACTTAAACATGATAAACTTTAGCAATATTGGCCTTCATGGAGCTATGGTGTCTAGAGTCCTTCAAAAATCCATTTAGGATCTTAGAAGAAACCTTTTAGCAAGCACCCTATGGCTCAAGGCAGATATCACTGCCTTCCCTGGTATTATAGTATTACTCTCAGCTACTTTGGGATCTGCAGGCACCCAATGCCAAGTGGGTTGGTGACTGTTTTAGGAAAACCTCGTCGTTGCCATGCTACATGGAACTCCACATGAGGACAGAGAGGGCTCTGCATTGCTCGTAAGGGCCACTGGGGCCATGTACCTCTTTTCTGGATGCTTCTTCCAGAGGCAGGGGGAATAAGTAGACCCTTAAAAGGTTAGGCTGCAGCTTTGGGGATTAACATGAGTCCTTGGACTACTTACTGCCTGCCTCTACAGGTAAGGGGAAGGACTTGGACAAGTATGTCCTGGCCAGTTGAACCCTCTCTGTGGTTCTTTCCAGAGCAAAGGAACCACTGATCATAACCAACTCTTAAGTGTAAAAATGGTTCTGATAGAAATTATGGTGGTTTCCTGGCTTCTGGGCTTTGGCGCTTTGACCAACAGTATTTCACCGAATGAAAACCACTAAAGCCTGCCTGGGGCCAGAGGATGGTTTTTCAAGCCTTTTTGCCAACAGAAGCAGACTAGACCACAGTATGGGTAGGCAGTAGCAAACACCATTGCATCAGGCTTTTTTGCAGTGGAAGTGGGATATGGTGAATGCTGTACACAGGAAGGTAAATCATTCAGTGCTAATCTGTCTCCTTTTTGTTACAGAAGGACAAGAGGATGCTATTTTATCATATGAGCCAGTGATACGACAAGAAAGTAAGCCCTCCTCTGAGAGTCTTGCTTTCATGTTAGTCTCCTGTTGTGGGGCTCAATGCAGTGGGTGCTAGAGCAACAGGGAAAGGTTCAGGGAAAGAGGAAGGCTCAGCTCCTTATACATCAAGCACTTGGACTCTTCCTCCTCTTGTATCATGGAAGCCATCCAGTACACACCTCTTGTTATGCTTTTGCCTGTTCTTGGGAGGTCTTCCAAGGAGAGGGCAGGTTTACAACAAAGGTCTGTTTCAATGGGGATAGCCACTGCAGAAAAGGATTCCTCTTTTGGGTGTCTGCCCTGTAAAAATCTTTGTTGGGTGGCTGGTGTCCATACAGAGCTCTCTCCTGAATCTCTTGGACAGGGAATCTGAAGCTTCTGGCTTCAGACTTGTCCCAAGACTTATGTATTATCCAATGAAAGGATCTTCAATGTTCTTGTAGTGAAGAACCAGAGAATGGCTGTGGATACTTCACTCTTTTTTGAGTGGTGGATCCATAATGAATGTGTTCTAGCCAGACTCAAAGGTGGGATGGGCTTCCCTTCAGGGCTTCTGTTCACTGTCTCAATGTTTTCCATTCCCAGTTCACTACGCCAGGCCCGTGATCATCCTGGGCCCAATGAAGGACCGAGTCAACGATGACCTGATCTCTGAGTTCCCACATAAATTTGGATCCTGTGTGCCACGTAAGAGCCCAGGCTGGTCCAAATAAGCAAGGGTTGGCACCCTGGGAACTGCTATTGCAGTGTTGTGTGGAAAGTAGCTAGGATCAGATACTAGGCCTTTTGGGAAAAGGATACATCTGAAAAAGAGTACAAAGTGATAGATGTCCTAAGAGTAGATGGGGTTCGGAGGGCTAAGACACCCAGCTTGGCTGCTCACTTGCTGCTTTGGGAAATTGTCAAGGCAATAGGAATGATTGAACAAATAAGGAGACCCAGCCTAAGCATTATTTATGATTTCAGGGGTGTGTGTGTGTGTGCACATGTGCATGCACATGCATGTGTGTACTCACGCACCTACATGCTGGTCCTGTGGCTTGAACTCAGGGCCTGGGTGCTGACTCTGAGTTTTTTTGTTCAAGGCTAGCATTCTACCATTTGATCCACAGCTCCACCTCCTGTTTTTTGGTAGTTAATTGGAGAAAAGAGTTTCACAGACTTTCCTGCCTCGGCTGGCTTTGACCCACCAATCCCCAGCTGTGATGTTTTTTTTTTTGGGGGGGGGGGTGCTGCTGGTCATTCAAAATAGGGCCTTGTATGCTAAGTGCTTTAAAGATGCACCCTCTGCTAGGCCCTAGTTTAGGAAGTTCCACCTTTCTGGTGCAGTTGAACATAAAGTGAATAGCCTTACTTGTGTGACATCTGGAGGTGTAACTGTGAAAAGTAACTGTTCCCAACTACTTTTTCCCCCAATTATCTAAAAAAGCCTAAATTGACCCTGTCACCCTCCCAGGTGAGAGACAATCAATTCAACTTTTATGGCACAGAGCCGATCACTGTCCTTGACTTTGACTTATGGTGGTCCTTTTTTTTTTTTTCCTTCAGATACTACCCGGCCTCGGCGTGAAAATGAAGTGGATGGACAGGACTATCATTTTGTAGTATCCCGGGAACAGATGGAGAAGGATATTCAGGACAACAAGTTTATTGAGGCAGGCCAGTTCAATGATAATCTCTACGGGACCAGCATCCAGTCAGTACGGGCAGTTGCAGAGAGGGTAAGCAGAGAGAGGTGGCCAGACCTCCCATGCGCCTTAGAGGCAAGACAGATATCCTGGTTCTGTTGCACTTGTATTCTCATCCTTCCACGATGGGGCCTATCTAGTGGTCCTACTGACCAAAGGCATGGCAGTTCTGCAGATTCCAGCCCTTGGGTGGAGGTGCCTATCCCTCCTGTGTCTCACACTGAATTGTCATCCACTGGGGAAAAGGGGACTCCCTAGGCAGATATGATCTTTTCTGGATAATAAAAGCAAACCATAGTACCAGAGAATGTCAGAGAAAAGATATTGTGGGTCATGCTGGGTGTCCTTAGTGCCCTGAGTGGCATTTGAAATGCCATTAGATTTCTGTGTGGGGGTAGGTGGATAAGGAGCAGGACTGACACAAATCTGCTTCCTCAGGGCAAGCACTGCATCTTAGATGTTTCCGGCAATGCTATCAAGAGACTGCAGCAAGCACAACTTTACCCCATTGCCATTTTCATCAAGCCCAAATCCATTGAAGCACTTATGTAAGTTGTTTGCTGGTGTCAGACATGCCCTACTAGGATAGGCTGCTGGAACAGAAATGGAGAGTAAAGTGATTTGTTGGGCGGGGTTAGGACCCAGTGGATGCAGAAGGAAACTGGCCCAGTTCTGACTGTTCGCTGCCCTTTCTGTTTGAGTGCCTGTGTGTGCATGCTGTTTCAGTTGGGCTTTGAGACCTGTAAGGTTTGTGGATGGAGTTAGGGGCTTCCCTGAGAGGATAGTTTGGCAGATTTTTCAGGGAACCTGGATCACTCCTTTTTGATCATAAAAACAAGATCCTCTTTGGAGCTATTTTGCTGCTTCTGTGTCTTTGGCAGGGAAATGAACCGACGACAGACATACGAGCAAGCAAATAAGATCTATGACAAAGCCATGAAACTGGAGCAGGAATTTGGAGAATATTTTACAGGTAAGAATCCCTGCTGCCCTGCCTGGGGTTCCATGAAACTAGCCAGACGCCTGCTTCTGAGTTTGGCTCAGAAAGGGTTAGGTCTTAGGGTCAGGCACGCCTGCACAGAGCTGCTCCATTCATTTGAGCTGTTGAACTCTGACATGTCGAGCACTTGAGTTCCTCCCGCCCATCTGGTCACAGTTTACCAATTTCTCTCATAAACCATTCCCCAAATGCTTCCAAATGTTGGTTGGTTCATTTAGTTTTCATTTTTGAGGGGTGAGTAAATATTTTTAATTATTATAAAGGTGATATACAGAGGGGTTACTGTTATATAAGTCAGGTAAAGAGTATATTTCTTTTTGGACAATATCACCCCTTCCCTCATTCTCTCCCAATTCTGCTTTCTTGTCTCTGCTAGATTGCAGGTCCCTCTATTATGTTGTTTCCCTCCCCCCCACCCAGATCTTTCTTTGCCTTGCATGTTTTAGGTACTGAATAAACATTTGTTGATGATGATGATTTTGTGGTGTGATATTCAAGTTATCTCTTAGGGGTTTGTGTATGTGTGTGTGTGTGTGTGTGTGTGTTTATATGGTCATCTGTTTTAGAAAGTCAGTTCCTAAGAAGTTGCAGAAATTCCCTTGTAATTGTCCCTTACCTTTTAAAAACGCAGTGACAGATTCTGTGTGTGTGCAGGGCAATGGTGAGTAAATTCTAGCTGGTGGTGCTAGGTTAACTGGGTAAAGAATTAAAAAATGTTCTGGACTCCAGTGGCTCACACCTATAAGGAGGTGTGAGATCTGGGGGATCTCTCAGGAGGCTGAGATCTAGGGATCATAATTTGAAGTCAGCCCAGGCAAACAAATCCAAGAGACTCTTATCTCCTGTGTAAGCAGCAAAAGCTTATAGTGGAGCTGTGGCTCAAGTGGTGGAGCATATCCTTGAGCAAAAAAGCTAAGGGACAGCACCTAGGCCCTGAGTTCAAGCCCCAGTTCTTGCAAAAAACCCCCCACAAAACAACAAACACCAACACCACCAGAACTCAGAAATATGCTTGCACACCATGAGTCTTTGGAGCTCAATTTCCTGTCAGTGTCCATGTCCTTGTTCTCTGGGCTGACCTCTGACACAGAGCAGATGTGATAGCCCCAGGTGTCCTGCCTCTTGCCAGAAATTGTGGCTTTCTCCTTTTCCTCTGGATAATTGGGATTTTCCAGGCCTTTGAATGAGACTGCTATCCTTATGGCAGCCAAGAGCAACATGAACTGCAGTGTCTGGCATGTTGTGGGTGGCTCATTAAACATCTTTTGAATCAATACATTTTTCTGTTCATTGGTTTCTAATCTCACTATCTTAAAAAGCTGACTTCTAGCTCTGGGCTTGAGGCCTCCAGCTAGCTTCCCTCCTGCCCTGAACTCACAGACAACTGTTTAGCAACACAAACCCATGCTTCCCTGAGTATCCTTGTGTGTGTGCACAGGGGACATCACATGACGGATGGGAGAGGCAGGATGGCCGGGGGTGGGGGGGTATGTTATAGACTACAGTAATAATTTTGTTTTCCTCTTCACTTCAGCCATTGTACAGGGTGACTCACTGGAAGAGATTTATAACAAAATCAAACAAATCATTGAGGACCAGTCTGGGCACTACATTTGGGTCCCATCCCCTGAAAAACTCTGAAGAATCCCCTCCAACCATTCTCTTGTGAACAGAAGAAATCAAGTCCCTCTTCCCTCCTCCCTCTTCATTCCTGTCCCCATGGGGAGAACAAATGACTACTGTTCTTATCCCCTTTTTTAAGATATGTCAAAAATTGAGTTTTCTAGTCCTGTATTTTTCTTTCCTTAACTTTTTTAATTTGGTTTTGTTTTATTTTTGGGATGATGCCATCTCACTCATCATGTGACTGTGCCCATTCCTGCATGGACCTTTCCCAAGCGCTAGCACAGGTGCGAATCCATCAGAGCCATTGTTTTCATAAACACCTAGCAGAAGCGAAGAGAAGAGAGGAGGACTGATGGAAAGACAGACTCTGGATAGCTGCACGGCTTGTGAAGTGATCTAACAGCACCACGTGATGAGGTGCTCCTGGGCATTTCTACCCACCTGTACTGCTGGCTTGCAGCTCTGAACGGTGCAAAATAATGGCAACAGAAAGTATCTTATTTATATATAGATATATATATATGTAATTTATATAAAATACATAGAAATTATTATATATATTATACACTCTCTTATTATATATATATATACATATATATATGTATGTATATATATATACACTCACCTACATGGGGACTAGAAAATCTATGGAGACTTCATCAATGGTACTATGTTATTAGAGAAATGCTTTAATTTTCATATTCAAATCAGATGGCATCTTCTGTCCCACCTGGCTGGGAAGGGATTGGGAAGTAATAAGTGCCACGCCAGGGGCACTCACTTGCATTCAAATCATTCTCTTGAGAGCTAAGGTTTGCTCCAGGCGGGGTCAGCCTGGGGCCTGAGAGAAGAGGCTTTGCTTGGGGGACAGAGGGTTTGGAGATTTGACAGCCCAGAGAGAGCAGCTGCTGCCCCTGCAGTGCAGCCAGCCCCTCCCTGTGTGGGAAGAGAGAATGGTAACTGATGCTCCAGATAAACTTGCCTATTGTTTTATGCCACCTGACGTGTCTGCATGAGAGCTTTCCTCTTTTTTGTTCATTTTTAAGCTGCTGTTAAACCAAAACCACGTTGTGCTACTGTATCAGCCTTTTCATTCTTCCAAATTTTACTTTTCCTATTTAAGTGAATGCGTAGAATCCAATTTGCCAGTGTTCTAAAGGCTTGTGAGGTTCTGAGAGGAGCCAGGACCCGGGATGTAGTAGGTGACCCAGGTCTGGCCCATCCATGGAGTCAGCAGAGGGAAAGCTGGGGCTCTGCAGTGCATACTGGCCTCCACTAACCCACTGAGGACATGCTAGGTTTGTCTGGGGCCCTTCAAGGGGCCATTGACAAGGACAGGGAGGTGCTTGCCTTCTGGCTCAGTGCCAGGACAGTGGAACAGCACCAGGCATGGCCAGCCATGTAGTGAGTTGGATTTGGTTCTTTTCTTTTCTTTTCTTTTGCAGCTGCTCCATTTGCCCTACCCCAGCCCCATCACCAACAGCTGGTAGCTTACTTTTTCTTGAAGAAGAAAGTAGACTTTCAATGCTATAAATGAGCTGTAGAGCTAAGATTCACTCACTGGTGAGCTGTGAAGCCTTGTTGCTTTTCCCAGAGTCTGATGGCAGTGACGGGTCCACGGAGTTTTCCTCCTGCCACCAGTGCAGGCAGCAGGTGTGGTCCAGGCCCTACCCCGCCCCCACTGTGCTCCTTTGAAGCCAACGTGCCTCCCTCACCTCCACACTGGAGGGATGATGTAGGGGAGAGAACCTAGAAAAACTTGGCCCTTGAGTTGAGCCCACTGGGTTAGGACCAGTGCAAATGACACAATGTTGAAGATGCTTTAAGCACTACCGGCCACTAGCAGGAACTATGTTCGCAGGTATCCTAACAGTATAATGAGGCTAACTGAAGTGTGGGGCCCACAAGTGAGGGGAAAGAACAGGCAGCAGCTTTCCCTTGGGCAGTACACTGGATTGAAGGCAAAGAGGGATAGCGTGATGGCTGATTGTGACTCTGATGAGGGAGGTGAGCAGGGAGTGGTGATTCCTGATGGTAACAGTGACACATGTGTGAACAATGATGCTCAACCCTTCCTCTCTTCCTCCCTCGCAGAGTTGAAAAGCAAAGTTTTCAAAGTAAGCATGACACTAGTTGGTTTACCAGTGTTCCTTCCAAGGAGACATATATTTTTTAATAAATGATAGTTGCAATGAACTGTGGCTCAGAGATTTTCTTGAAAGAGTTGAACAGGAATGCTGGAGCCACTGCAGTGTGGAAAAGGGTGCTGACCTTTGCTGGGGAGGGGCTCTGGCCTTGCTCCTTGCGTGCTGATCTGCCAGGCAGTTCTTGGGATGTGTGTGTGTGACCCTGCAGGTGGTAAAAAGCTGGGTGCTTGGTAAAGACCAAGGAGACCATCCTGGCACACATGCTGTCTTGAACAGCACCAATTAGGTATAGGGAAGCGCAAGATTGATGATGAAAAGTGCCCAGGATATAAGATACTATAAAAAGCAGCATTAGAGCAAGCAGCATAGCCTAGTAATGAACTGATGGAGGAAAATGAGTGATTAAGAGAAGGCCACCTGCCAGCTTGCTAGTTTCCAAGAATGGAAGTGAGATGAGTCTATCTTGCAGAGGGCCACACTCACCCCTGAGGCCCTTGGAAGTGGGAAGAAATGTTTAGAGCAGGTAATGCCATGCTGATTATGTCAAGAAGTCTGAAGAGCCACTGCTGTAATGGCTGGTAGCTCACACATGTAATCCTAGCTGCTCAGGAGACTGAGATCTGAGGACTGAGGTTTAAAACTAGCCTGCACAGGAAAGTCTGAGGCTCTTACCTGTGACTTAGCAAAAAGTCATAAGTAGAACTGTGACAGAATTCTAGCCTTGAGCAAAAAAACAAAAAAAACCTCAGGGACAGCAACTAAGCTGAGTTCAAGCCCCACCCAAAAAAAGTGGCAAATGAATGAGCACCCCTAAGATGTGAGATTTGAAACATTGCTTGCTTGATCACAATGAAGCTCTTGGCTTTCCCGAAGGCAGTCTAACAAAAGGAAGTCTCCTGAGGGTTCCATGAGTCCCTGAGGGGCTGAGCTCACCTCAGTATAAAGGGGACAAAGATTTCCCCTGTGGCTATAGTCCTGTTGCTGTGCTAAGGAGCTACCTTATCATAGAGAGGGTACTGCTGAAGGAAATTAAGCACCAGCAAGAGAAGGCCACCTTGAGCTACAAAGAAACTCCCAAGGGAGATCTGTCTCCTACAGAGCAGGGCCATGTCCCCCACTGGGAGGGACACAATTTCCACCCAGGTCTGCTGCCAATCTTGCTTCAATTTTCTCACCTTGAAGAGGAAAAATCTTCCAAATGATTGAACTTTGCAAGATCCCTACGATGCTACTCTTGACAAAAATCCTTGTTCAGCCAAGTGCCAGTGGCTCACTCCTGTAATCCTAGCTACTCAGGCTGAGGATCGCCAGTTCAAAGCCAACCTAGGCAGGAAAGTGTGAGACTCATCTCCAATTAGCCACCAGAAAACTGGAAGTGGTGCTGTGTCTCAAAGTGGTAGAGCACTAGCCTTGAGCTGAAGAGCGCAGGGACAGTGCCCAGGCCCAGAGTTCAAGCTCCACTACCAACATCACCAACAAAAAAATTTCACTAATGAAAACCAAATCTTTCCTCAAAACAAGTGGATGAAGCTAAAATGGATGCAGAAGGTAGGTTTGAGCAGTAGGACAGGATGGATGGACCAACCTGTGAACTGGCCTTGCACTTGAGCCAAAAGGTCATGCTGTAAAGGCCACCAGAATCTTTTCTGCAGTGGAAGCAAAAACATCAAGAGACCCTTGTGGCATTCAGATGAGAGGGATTCCAGAGCCTTTAGCTTTCTCAAGGCTGCCAACAAGTCAGTGCTGAAATACAATGTAGACCCACCAGGCTGGCCAGGAGACACTGTGGCTCATTACTCCCAAGTCATGTTTGTCAGTCCTGTTTCTAACTAGGATTTCATGGCCTTCATTCTATGACTCTTTTCATCCATTCAGTCATTTCCTTGGCACTTGTAGGACATTTTGTTAATTGCAAAGAACTTTGGAAGCTCAACTGCCAATTTCCTCAAAAGCTCCTTTTTTTCTCTCATCACTTCCAAGAAACAGCAAGACTGGTTTCTGGATACCTTTGGGTCTACCCCCACACATTTTGTAGCCCATGTCTCAAAGCATTTTTTCATGTGCAACTTCAAATATTTAAGGTTAGTGAAGTAGGAGAAATAACTGCATTGATGCCTATGCTTTGTTGGAAAACAGAAGCATTTCATCAATGAAACCTCAACTGCATTATATCTGCAGAGCTGTTGCCATTGGGACTTTTCCACCTTAGGTTGAATGAACTACTCACACAGCCCATCTCCACTCTCTCCTGGCCAGCCAAGTGTCTACCACTTTTAGCAACTGGCAAGTGGTGGCTCGTGCATTCTTCTAGGGACAAGCAGGGGCAAGGAGATGTTTCTGTTTGCCTTGTGATCAGCCTGGGCTGTCCGTGCAGCCCATGGAAGGAGCTGTCCAATGGTTCCACCTTGTCCAGCATGTTGCTCCTTGGCTTGTCCCTTTCTCCATCTGACCTTGACCTTTCCCTCCTGCCTCATATCTTGCTGTGTGCCCCTCACTTCAGTCATTTGATTCTGCAAATGCACAGCTCCCCAGGGACTTAGCTTATTTCCCCACCCTTAAATGGTCTCAATGCATGCTCACCTAGAAAACTCCTTTTAAAATTTCAAGAGTAGGTGCAAGAACCCTACCTCCTTTCTATGCTGCCTTCCAGAACCAGCTCTTCTACCTCCCACTCGGAGGTACAATTGACCTTGCAAAACTTTCTTTGTGCTCCTCTCTCACCACTATCACAGCTCCTATGTAGTTCCTGTTTACCACATGCCAGGCACTAACCTAAGTGCTTTCTGAATGCCTTTCCACTGATGAAGTAGGTGCACATATGATCCCTATTTTCCACATGAGAAAACTGAGTCAAACAGGCTATCTAGCTGAAGGAACATGCCCTTAAGCACCCCAACAGCCTGTCACTTGACCACTGAATGCTATCCTACCTTTATCTCCACAACCATCTTCCTTTTCTAACCTCCTCTGACAGAGGACACTGGGGCTTTCTCATCTCTGGAATGCCTGCCACAAAGCAGGTACTGGATGAAAGAGGAATCTGCAGAGCCTGGCTCAGCTATGGAGTGGGGTTCTGACTAGCTCAGAACTTGGGCTGTTTGAATGGCTTTCTTTTCTAGACTCCTTACTCTAAACTTGACTCTCAAAAAAAATCTTTAATTGGCAAAAATTGTACGAAGGAGTTTCCTTGAAATATTTCCATGTATATATATAATGTGTTTTGATCAAATTGACTTCCTCTATTCCATTTTCTTATTCCTCTTTCCCTCTTTTTTTACATTTTAATGGGTTTCATTATTCTATTTTCATACATGCATGTAGAGTATTTTGATCGTGTTCACTCTCCCAATAATCCTCACCTTTACCCTTCCAGCTCCTGCTAGTTTCTCTTAAACTGTCACTCTTTTTCATGTCATTGTTTTCTGTCAATCGTAGGGCTTGAACTCAAGGCCTGCGTGCTGTCCCAAAGCTGCTGAAAGCTAACGCTCTACCACATTAAACCCCAGCTTCACTTCTGGTTTTTCTGGTGGTTAATTAGAGATAAGAGTCTCACGGTCTGTCCTGCGAGGCTGGCATCAAACCACAATCCTCAGATGTCAGCCTTCTGTGTAGCTAGGATTACAGGCATGAGCCACCAGCACTCAGCTTTGTCTTTTCTTTTTAGATTTAGATTTTACATATGCAAATGTCTTTCTGAACCTGGTTTATTTCACTCAGCATAATGATCTCCCATTCCATCCATTCTTGTGCAAATGACATAATTTTCTGTCTTTATGGCTCAGTAAAACTCCATTTGTCCTTTTTTTGTGCAATGGTTCTAGGGCTTGAATTTAGAATCATGAGCTCTCACTTAACTTTTTCACTCAAGGCTGGCACTCTACCACTTGAACCACACCTCCATTTCTGACTTTTGGGTAGTTAATTGGAGAAAAGACTCTCATGGACTTTTCTGCCCAGGGCTGGCTTTGAACTGCAATCCTCAGATCTCAGCCTCTTGAGTACCCAGGGTTGCAGGTATGAGCCACCAGTGCTTAGCAGATATCCTGTCTTTTTTTTAATTTGTACATTTATTTTCATTTATTAAGTGATGGACACCTAGGCTGATCCCATGGCTTGGCTATTGTGAGCAGTACTACTGAGTATACAGGGATTTCTGTTTTGTGCTGACTTCCATTCCTTCAGATATATGCCCAGTATAGGAAGATGATATGGTAGTTCTAGTTTTATTTTCTTGGCTCTACCTCCACCCTCTGCCTCCTCTCCTTTTCCCCCTCAACTGCTTACTCCTGCGAAGGTTCTTCCTTTTTTTCGCTCTCCTTGCCCAAAGCTGACTGTCCAACATTTCTGTGCCTCGTACTGACCAGGGTTCAACACAAGGTTAGTGGCAACTAAAAGCTCTTAAAAGTCAGGCTTTACCTTCTCAGCAGAATAATTTAAGAAGTCTAGAAACATGGACATGCCATGGCCTTCTGTCCCTGTTAGCTTCATTTCTCTCTATGCCAACCTGTCCCCTTCCACAGGGTATCTGAGCCTGCACCTCTGACCCTTCCCTTTCAGGAAGTGCCACATTGTCCTACCTCTACTCCCAACCCTGATCTGTCTCCTTAAGGCATCACTTACAATCTATTAGCATGGTTAGTTGTTTATGTCTTCAACTAGTCCTTTGCTGGTCTCAATGAACCTAGAATCTAGTGAGAGAGCACCAAGGAAGTAAATGATTGAGGTCAGAATTAACACCTTAGGGTGAAGATGAGGAAAATAAAATGTGCAAGATGCAGTGAGAAGCTGTCATAGGGGATCTACTTAGAAAAGGCTCCCAGGCAGGGCTTCTTGGAGATTTCAGGTTGAGATCTATAGGATCTTTGGGAGCAGCCTGGTGGGGGAGGGGATATCAATAGGAGTTTATTAAACACCGTCCCCTGTACCCATCCAAATCTGCTCTTATACCATTGGCTCCTGTTATTTTTCTACAAACCAGGGTAGACTGTTTGCCTTTTTACCTAGAAGGAAGACCTTGCAGCATTTCCCACACCCATCTCTTTCCTTTCT